TAAGAGTAAAAATACTCATTCAATTAGCAAATCTTGTCATTTACCTACTGAAATTAAGGGTAAATTCACTCAATTTGAGAAATGTTTACTTATTCCTTATTCAGTGCATAGATGCTATTTTATAACCTTTTTTTAAGTTACAGAATCAACTTATCACCTCTGCAGGTGGTTTAATTCAATCTGAGCTTGCATCAAACAGACTCCTGTGTGTCGCTGAATGTTAGCATTGATGACTGAAAGACATCTTCTGCCTCCATTTATCTGTTTACTACAGTCTGTTGAATTAATCGCACCTCGCTCTCCGCCGTTCCTTGGCTGTCTCCTCGGACGCTGCTGATGCTGCTGCAGGTGTCTCTGGAGCGCGGCGGCTTCCAGGTGCGCTCTCCGCTGGCCCGGTTGTAGTAGAAATACCTCCCGCTCAGGTCTTTGTGGGTCTCCCAGTCACCCAGGACGTGGAGCGGGGAGCCTGAAGGGACGGGCGGCTGGCTGGACTGGGAGATCTTCAGCTCCTGGAGGTTGGTGTAGACCGGCGAGTCTGAGCGTCCCGGACCCGTGGGCGATGTCGTCTGGGGAGAGGAAGACAGGCGGGTTGATTAGGGTTTAAAATGTATCGCCTTCTTCTACAATGTTGGTTTTAGGTTGAGTTTCAGCTCAGATTTAAGAAAATAAAGCAGGAAATTATTGCAAAATATGAAGAATTACAGACAAACAGGATCAGGAAGCAAATATATCAAACTTCATGTTTTATTCTAAGAGTGTGAAACCAGATTAAGATCACATCTGGTTCCACATGTGGCTCCCAGAAAGCATCTTAGTCCAACTCAGAGTCCTCACACCACATGGACTATAACCGGTCCAGCTGACAGATGTAGAAGATGATATTTTATTAATGCAATTTTGTTAATGTTAAATATACATTTTTCCAAGTTTAAAAGCCAATTTAATCTCAGTTACTCTCCAACTTTAACGGTCTGTTCTCGGTCTTCCGTCTCTCAGAAATCATTGTCTCGTGTCACACACGTCTCTGATTCCAGGAAGTGAAAATAAACGATTTTCTTGTTACTTAGAGTTCTTGGAATATAAATTTACTAACATCAGAACAAGAAGGATAGAGTTAAAGAAAACAGACGAGCAGAATTACTCCATAAATCTCTGATTGATGCATTTCTACTTCCAACTCATTTCTGAAGGCCTCCTTGGAAAGAATGCGGGTCTGGTATTTCAGGACTAGCAGGACGTGAGTCAGAACAGCAGAGAGGATGTCAAAGAGGTCCAGTTGAATACAAGCAGGACGACGGAGCGAAGCTGTGATGTTGTCTTGGCAACTGTTGCAATTAAGCATTGCTTAAAATTGTGAAACTACATCCTGCTCAGAGATGAAGACATTATGTATAAAAAACAAAGGGCATGTTTTGCAGAAGATAAAAGATGAAACAGAGATGGTGTCACTGCTTCACTAACAGCTGATTTTATTGGCTGATATTTTTTCTTCTGACGGCTGTGCTTAAATTAGTGCATTCAGCAGCAATGCCTTTAGATCATGTAAAATGCCTGCATTGCTGCTCCCTTTATTTGCAATTCCCTTGTTTTGCAAAAACAAATGTTTTTTTTTTTTTTTGATAAATTAAGACTTGTGTAACATTTGTCATCCTGTGTCATCTTTAGGGCTGCAACTAGCGGTTATTTTGCTACTCCATTAATCTGTGGATTATTCTTTCGATTAATCGATTAATAATCGGACAGCAATGGTTCCTTAAAGAAGATTTCTTGCTAAATTAAATGAAGGGAAACTCAAACTTTTCCACTTGTGGAGTTCTGGATGGAGCAGATTTACTTGCAAAATGTTAGTTTTTTTTTACCTTAAATGCAAAATGTTTATATGTTTTTTACAATCTTGCAGAGGTGGAAAGAGTACAAAAAAGTTGTAATTGAGTAAAAGTATCTTTATTTTGCCTAAATTTTACTCAGAGTAAAAGTAAAATTACCCATCTCAAAATTTACTCAAGTAAAAGTACAAAATTACTTCATTAAAAATGTAATTTGAGTAAAAGTTACTTAGTTACTTTGAGTTATTTAATGCAAAAAAGGATGAGTCATGAATTAAATTGAGCAGAAGGTGTTGTGATCGATTTCAAGACGTGTTTCAGAGGAAATCCACACAGCTGGGCTATAGAACAAACTTCCTCACAGCACAAGGACAGTCACTACCTGAACCATAAAGTGCAAAAAATATTCAACCCAACTGTCCAAGAGACACCATGATAGGAATAAAGAAATTTAAACTGCATTTTAAAGTTTTCAAAATGCACACAAAATTAAATGCCCAAAAGATACCAGAAATAAATCTAAAACGCAACAGGATGCCACCGTTATTAACAAGCTCCTCATTTAATGGTTATAACTGACACTTGTTTTACTTTAATAGTGATTTTTAACTGACATTTGTTTTACTTTAATAGTGATTTTAACTGACACTTGTTTTACTTTAATAGTGATTTTTAACTGACACTTACTTTACTTTAATAGTGATTTTAACTGACACTTGCTTTACTTTAATAGTGATTTTAACTGACACTTGCTTTACTTTAA